GTGCGGCAGTTAACCGCTTCTTGAGTTCTGTAAAGCTCCTTTCGCAATCCTCGTTCCTCTCAAACTTGACATTCTTCTTTGTAAGTCTGGTTAAAAGAGCGGCTAGACTAGAAAATCATTCAACAAACTTGCGTTAATATCCTTCCATTCCTAAAATGCTATTGGTTTCCTTAACCGAAGTCAATTTTTTTCAACCGAGTACTGCCTCAACCTTATCAGGATTCACTGACACCCCATCCTTTGATATTATGTGCCCCAGAAAGGTAGTCTGCTCAAGGCAGAACCCACACTTACTCAATATGCATACAACTTCTTTTCCCTAAGAACTTATAAAACTTGAATCAAGTGATGAGACTATTTCTCTCTGCTTTTTGAATATATCAGGATATCATCAATGAACACAATAATGAACTGATCTAAAAATTGCCTAAAAACCCTGTTCATCAAGTTCATAAAAATGACTGACGCATTTGTTAACACAAATGGTATGACCAAGAACTCATAGTGTCCTTACCTGATTCAGAAGGCTGTCTTGGGAGTGTCCTCTGCTCTGATCTTTACCTGATGGTAACTTAAACAAAAGTTTATCTTAAAGAAAACCTAAGCACCATGTAACTGATCGAAAAGACTTTCAATCCGGGAGAGGGAATACTTGTTCTTGATTGTGACTCTATTCAATCCCCTGTAGTCAATACACAACCTCAGGGACCCATCATCCTTTCTCGCAAACGTGACTCCAACACCCCAAGGAGATACATTATGTTAGATGAACCCATTAACCTATAATTCTTTGATCTATTTCTTCAGATCTTCCATCTCTACCTGACTCATGCGGTAATGGGCAACTAAGATGGGCTGGGTGTTAGGATGAAGATATATGATAAATTCAACTTCCCCATCTACTGGTAGTCTGGGTAGTTCATCAGAGAATATATTTAAAAATTTTCAGACCACAGAGATCTCTTGAATGCAAATTTCTTTCTTAGCCTTCCCTAATGTAGTAAAGACAACCGAGTTAAAACGTTATATAACAATACAATTGTCATGAGGAAAAAAATATCTAACACTTTTATTAATTTATGAATGATTCTTCATTAAAAAGATTGAATACAAACTTCTTATAAAAATAGTCTACAGTGGTGTGATACGCCGCTAACTAGTTCATCTCTCGAATCACATCAAAATTCTGTGTTTATTTCTATTAGGTCTACGCTCAATTCCCTATCGGCTATCTCTATAAAGCTTTGTATATGACATCCCCTAATAGTGTCCCATGCTCAGGAGTAGACACAAACAGCACATAATCAAGATTTTCAGATAATACATTCAATTTTTTTGCAAAAGCATATAAGACAAAAGAATTTGAAGCACTAGTATCAATCAAAACATGTGCAAAGTGGTTACAGATAGGGTATGTACCCTATATCACGTTCGGGTTAGCTTCAGCATCCTACTGGATGAGGTGTAAGCTCTGTCCTGGATGGGAGGTCTGGTCTAATTCTGATTTTGTAGACACTCTTTTGCATAGTGTTGGGCTCTTTTATATATACGGTAGGTATTGTTGAGGTGATTGTAGAGTCGGTCTCTATGATTTTTAACACAATGCTAATAAGTCCTACCGCGTCCTGCTGCTTGGGCCTGAGGAGGAGCTTGAGTCACAGGCCTAGGTCTCTTGTTCCGCTGAATCAGTGTAGTAGGAGCTGGTCTGCTATGTAGAACTGGGGTCTGGAATTGCCCACTGCTAGAGGGAAGACACGAAGGTTCCTCTCTATTAATTGTGTCTTGGCCAGAACTGCTGAGTAGATGCTGAGTTCAAACACATACAACTGTTGCCTAATCTCAGGACATGGGCCCCACTCAAACTTCATTATCTTTCTACCTTTGTCTATTATACTCTTAGGGGAATACCGGCAATTCTAGGAACCTTCGGGCATACTCTGACACTATCATATCACCCTAGACCAGGTGTGCAAACTCCATTTGCTTCAAATGCTAAAGACGCTCTGGGAGGTACTCCGCATTTAAGGCTACCAGGAACTGTTCCCAAATGACCAGAATGGGTATGATGGCCTGCTTTAGCTGCCACCAGCGACTTGCATCACTAACGAGCATAT